GAGAGAGAGAGAGAGAGAGAGAGAGAGTTGACCGCTGCTAGTGGGGGTCTGGCTATTAAATCATTGTTTAATTACATATGCGTTGTTTTCAATGTTAAGGACAGAAACACACTGTTTAGACAATAGCCGCGAATACAATGTCATATATATTTGTATGAAAAATCTGCGGTTAACTTATGTCTGATTTTTATCAGGATTTTTGTTGGTTTGACTTAAATAAACTATTGTTAGTGAATATGAATGTCGCGTATATATACGTGTAATTTATAGATTTATACGGTATATGAATGTCCAGTATATATTGTGGTGAATATTCTGTGATATGGCTTCAATAACGGCACACTATGTTTGACAACTGTTTTTAGCATATATTTTACACAGTGATGGCCAGTTGGGGTACAGGTATGAAAGGGTAGGTTAGGGGTAGACAGGTATGTGCAGAACATATATCATATAGATAACAAATCTACAAAATTTAATTAGTACCATGGTACGTGTTATATATAGGTGGGTACCTTATAAACCCCCTTATGGCGTAAACTATGTCAACCCCTTTGAGCACATGTATGTGTGTTAACTATAATAATTATTTAAAATATTAATTTTATATTTAATAGATATGTTTACGTGATAAATAAGTATCACAAGAATTGCTTGTGGTGCAGACGGGCGCCAGTGGACAGACCCGGGCTGCCTAACAACGGCTACCCCACGTTTGCCGCCTATTATTATGGGCAAAAGCTTGCGGTTGGGGCCGCGTGCAGATTCTGTGGCCGCCCGGGCATCCAAGTCGCCGCTCCGGCACCGCCACCAGTTGCCGGCGGGTCGGGTCCAGTGTTGCCCTCAGCGTCCAGTCCTGCGCCGCCCACTCCCGCCGCCGAAACGGAGGAGTTTGACCCCCAACTCAACACCAGTCAAGTCAATGCCACCGAATCTGTCAGCGAACAGCGGCCGACCGAAACAACAGGTATAGTCATTAAAAATCATTTAAATTAACCATGCTCATTTTTAGTATACTGTTACCCACCCCCTATAATAGTATTACTATGATAATTATTAATATTATGGTAGGCCTATGCAAATATGTTGATTATGACCATTGCTCTACACTTATTGACATTGACTCATAACATACTGCATATATTTCATACCCTAATAACCCGATGGCATACCCCGCAGGTGTGGTCAAGTCGTGCCTACTGTTGCAGTTCACGAACAAGCGGTTCCAACCGGTGCACGACCTGACCATTGGCGTGGAGTTCGGCGCCCGTATGATCACAATCGACGGCAAACAGATTAAGCTCCAGATATGGGACACCGCGGGTCAGGAGGCGTTCCGTTCGATCACCCGTTCGTACTATAGGGGCGCCGCCGGAGCGCTGCTGGTCTACGACATCACCCGCAGGGATACGTTCAACCATTTGACCACTTGGTTGGAGGACGCGAGACAGCACTCCAACTCGAATATGGTGATCATGTTGATCGGCAACAAGAGTGACCTCGAGTCACGCCGTGAGGTGAAGAAGGAGGAGGGGGAGGCGTTCGCCAGAGAGCATGGGCTCATTTTCATGGAGACCAGCGCTAAGACGGCCGCCAATGTTGAGGAGGCGTTCATTAATACGGCTAAAGAGATCTACGAGAAGATCCAGGAGGGGGTGTTCGACATCAATAACGAGGTAATTTGTGTTTGTGTTGATTGAGCTTGGTGGTTATTTTGCTAGCTTAATTTTCTCTCTCTCTCTCTCTCTCTCTCTCT